AAGTTCCTCAGTTTGGACAACATATTCCACGATTATTCTATTCGCCACTCACTGTGCATACACTGGCATGTGCTGGTTGACATTCACAAAATAGATCAACTGGTCAAGTACATTATGAAGTGCCTCCTTTTGCAGTGCTGGTCTTTTATTAAACATTTACATGGAACACAAATACGCTCATATTCTAGTCTATTCTGTGATCCCTTCTACTTCTTCCCCAGACCTCCTCTTTACCAATCCTTCAATCTTCTTTCTTCTAAGTTTTTGATCATGCAGCCAAACTGTTTGCTACTGACCATGATCCATGTAGATCCACACTTCTGACTCTGGGGTCAGATGTAGATCCACACTTCTGACCATCTCTCTTTCTAGCCAAGGTTAAAAAAACAAACTAACATATTCCTTGAAGTTGTGCCCACTAGAAGGATTCCCTTCCTACTGCCTTTTAAGGCCACCCCTAAGTGAAGTTGTAGTTTCCGCTTCTGGATGGTACAATTATATTTTGCAGAAACATCTGTAAAGTAGTCTCTAATTTCTTTAAATCATATCAAGAATTTTCTGGCATTTCAACTTCTTTTAGGTAGGATATCATAGAAGCCAGGTTTTGGTCAAAAAAGCAAGTACCACTCACATCTCCTTGACTAGCACATTGAACCCAGGATCTCTAATAAGCGCATTCACATCAAAACATTTGACCACATCTAATTTGAGTTCCTTCCTTTCTAGACAAGCACCATTACAATACCTTGCCTCCCATATTTCTCAGGCTTCTGCCAAGGCTTCTGGCAAGGGAGGCTCAGCAGTGTGAGGGTCAAGCTACCCAGAGTCAATCAAATCCTCCCAGATGTCCCCATTCCCAGTTCTCATCACCCCATTCTTCCCCAATAAGTAAACTACCTTTCATATAACAGATTCGGCAAGGCTGTGAATTAAATTACATTGTAATTTGGCAACCCATTGGGTCAGACTCTATAACTCATTTTTGGCTCTGTCAAAGTTGTAGCTATGAGAAATAAGGGGCTCTTTGAGGGCAATCACAGAACCTCCTCAGTCCTCTGACCATGTCTTGAGCAGAGAATTTAAAATTCTGAATTATGCTATTTCTTTCTTTAATTTCTCCAGTGCTTTTGAAAGAATTCAGCCCATCTCACATCCCTTGTATTTCAAATTCCTACCATATTGACCTATTCCAGCAGCACTTGGTCCACCAAAGCATTGCCTGTAAAATACACTCTTTATTCCAGGAGACCAAGAGCATAATTTAACTTAATGATTTTTGCACTGCACGCCAAGTACCACACAGTGTTCCATTTTCAAATGGTAACTAGATCTTCACTACCCTTAAACCCAACTGAGTCATATAAACAATCCTAGACCCCATCCTTGAGGTTCTGGTATATTTATTCTGAGTTTGGTGTAGAATCCTTCTAGGTACATTAAGCAAAAAAGAAACGTAACATAGGGAATTGATTACAAAATCATTGGAAGACCTCAGGGAGCACACTCCAGGGTAGGCTTCCAGGAGAGACTCCTAGAACACTGTGGAACTGACCTTCCAGGAGTGTTACCTCCTCTGTCCCAATCAGCACCAAAGGCTACCACCACTGGAACTACTGTGTTCAAGAACACACCATGGTGGTTGTGATTCTAGGGATCACAGAGTGGGATCAGGAAGCCACCATCATCACTGCCTCTAAATACCAATAAAACTGGTGACCAGACATTGAAGTTCTGTTGGAAAAGAAAAAAAAGTCATGTGTCCGTAATCTTGCTTGACAGCAGAAATGGCTAAAACAGCAAGAAGATGGCCACTGCTTACCTTATGCCTTCCAAATCCCAAATGAATGTATCTAATTGTCAAAATCTAATTCAATTCCAGAAACTTAGATGCTAAGGAGTCTGGGAGATGTGGTTTTTAGCTTTCCAGCTCACTAGAAACAAGTGAGATGCTTGGTACCAAATGATCATATTTAATATAGTAAAGGGAAAAATAAAAATAAAGAACAACTCCTAAGTTTTTGGCCTGAGTAACAGGGAGAATGGTGTTTATATTTACTCAGACGGGGTTAGGCTACAAGAGGAAAAGGTTTGGGGAGAGATTCAAGAGTGCCTTCTTTTGCCTTGTACGGAATACAAAAGAAGACTTGTGTGGGTCAAAAGTCAAGTCTGGGAGTGAGTGCAGTATACACGAAAAAAGATTGTCCACTTATTTCACTTTCAAATGGTGGGCAATTAACTGGTTCCTATCCCTGAGTCTTATGGAGGGGGCCCAAGACAGTGCCTAGAATGCTTTCAAGTGTCTGTAAAGAGAGGAGACTAACATCTTCCCCAACTGGAAGTCTGGTGACCCGCTCCAGTGCTACCAGAGCAGGAAAGAACCCTGGCAGAAGATGGTGTGGTGGGGTGATGAGGCAAAGAAGGGGCCAGGACCATGTGCTCAAGGTTACTAAGAGGTACTGAAGATGGACCCCACCTTTCTGCAGACCCTAGGTGAAATTAATGGCTACAGACTGGTGAAATACTGCTGTAGCATGGGGCAAAGAGACACACACGAGAGGAATGTGGCAAAAGCCATCATCGGTAAGTCAGTTTGAAGATGCAGTCAAATCTTGCAGAGGATGACCAAACCTGGGGCAGATGCTCAAGATAGAGTCGCTCAGCAGCTAGATCTTGTCGAGGTCTTCACCTGTCCGCACTCAGTCAATCTATGGACTTCATCCGTCCACAATTGGTCAAAAAGCTAGACTAGGTGTGACATCCAACAGTACAGGCCAGCGCGGGACACCACTGACAGGAGGCTGTCCACCTTATGACCACCGACAAAAACAACGGCCAACTGGGCTGGATCAGTTACATCAGTAAATGCTCTCTACCTCTCGCTCTCCTTCTCTCTCTTCCTATTATTCTCCCCATCCCTCCCTCCCTCCTTCTTTTCTCCTTTTCTCTGTCCTGGCACCAGGCGATAAGCACAGGAAGGAGATAAGTAGTGTGGGAGGGCAGTCCCCACAGCTCCCACCACTGGAGCCTCAGGTTTACCTGCGCTGTGGGGAGAAGAGCTCCGAGTAGAACACAAGATTCAGGTTTAAAACAGGCACAGCTATGTCTTCAGAAACAAAACTATCCTAATAACCAACAGTGATTGAAACATTCTGAGATTAGACTGAAAGGTCAAAGGGGAGCCTCTCCTAGTGAAAAGCATAGTTGGCCAAGCATAGTTGGTAGCAGGTCCAAATCAAAATTATTTCATGTTTATACCTCAAGGAACCAAGACACTTCAACCAAGCCAGTTATATCAACAATATCATTTACATTCTATTTTTAACCTCTGAGACTTTTCTCTTGGCATAGTTCTAACAGAACCTTTATTAGGAACCCCTAAGACTGAAAGTGATGGCTTCTTGTACCAAGCACTTAATCCAGTGGCCTCTATGACATGAGTCATGTCATTAGATACAGATACATGTTTATTTTCAAAGCTTTGGAGATGGTGGATAAAAGCTGTCCTGAATACTAACATATTGAGAAAAAGAAAATGTAAAGCCAGCTGAGAAAGACAATCAAGTCTTACAGCAAAGTAAATCAAGTGTCACCCAAAGAAAACTGCTTATTCGGGAACGAGGGTAAGTAATGTGTTTTTGTTTGTTTGTTCTTAATTCAGCAGTTTTATAGAATTGAAAATCGCCTCCTTCATCTACTTGTCCCAGCATAGCTGCCCTTTTCTAGGCATTGAAATAGCTACCAAATTTCCTTAGCAATGTGGGATTTTGAAGAGTATTTTGATCAAATACCAAAAAAAGAAATTCTTTTTTATTAATTTTTAAAATAATATTAAGTAAGAGAATACAAGCAACTACTTTTTGCTTTTTTGGGCAACAAAAAAATTCTACTTCATCCCTTTCCAAACGAAAATATATACATATAAAGGTTTTGCCCTGTTGTAAGGAAACAATATACGAAAGGCTACATTTATAAAATAAATTAATTAGAGATGATTAAATGCATCACAAAGTGACTCAACAATAGGTCCTTTAAATATAGAATTCCAGTATGATTAATTTTACAAAAGTTTCATTTATACAGAGATTTGTTTCAAGTATTATTACATAAAATGAAATAATCTTATTAAATAAATAAACCCATGTCCGTCTCTCTGAATATTTTCCTATCAAATCATACAGTTGATGTTGATACAGTATTACCAGTATTTAGGGTTAAAATCACAACTGTCAAAGTTTAAATAATTAAAATACACATATTTCTATTTTAGGGTAGGAAAATTTTAAGATAATACTCTTCCTATCTTACAGTACTGTATTTGATCAAAAAACCAATGGTGAAGTTTACATTCATTTAATGATATAATTTAATAACTAATATTTCTTCTATTTTAATCTTAACTTCCAATAACACACAAACCATGCCTTGCAGATAGTAAATAAATGACTTTGGAATTGAACAAAAATCATACCTATTTTAGTGTTACTGGTTTTTATTAAATTCCCTCCTTAACTTACACTATAAGTTCTCCTCCACAGTATTTGCGTATTGATTGATTGCCTTCTGTTTGTATTTATTGGGCTCTTTAGATCTAGTTATCTTTACAACTCATCTTGTTTTAGGTCCCTACAGAGAAGCTTGCTGACTGAGCGGCTGGCACGCTGACGTGTTTCCCCTGCAACATGGGGCAGCCCATAACCAGGGGCCAGAGACTGGAAGGGCACAGCAAGCACTAAGTGCAGCGTCTTCCAGCGAGAGCACCCGGTCAGAACCACTAATAGAACCAAATGTCATTAAATAATGCAAATTCAATTTGGACCTCAAGAAGTAGTCAGGAGAAAATATCTACTTTGCCTTTGACATTCCTTGCTCCTGAAATTCTAAAATAATACCTGAAAAGAGGACCTATGTGGGAAAAAGACAATGGCTTATTTGGATTGTTTTGAAAACAAAAATCATGTCAGTTCAACCAAATCATCACATTCTCAGAGATTTTTACCTACTTGTACGACATTTTTCATTATATCTCTCCATGTTTTATCCACAGCTGTAAACCGTCTGCTTTCCTCGGGCATTTGAGACATAATGTCCGGAGAACTGAAAATGGGCTCCAAATACAGCCACGTGGCCTGGACCTTGAGCCATTCATCCAGAATCTCCTGAAGCAGCAGGAGCTTGCCCTCCCATTCTCTGAGAAGCAAAACACAGTGGCTCTTATCAACAGCAAACCAAGCAATGTTTCAGATGACAAAACTCAAAACCGTGACTAGACTGTCAATCTTTATGCAATCTTGTTATTCCAATTTCCATGGATCTAACTTCATTCAAAGATAAATCACTACATTTGTTCCACAAATTTGTTTTATTTTTTTTTAAAGATTTTTTTATTTTTTTTCCCCCAAAGCCCCAGTAGATAGTTGTATGTCATAGCTGCACATCCTTCTAGCCGCTGCATGTGGGACGCGGCCTCAGCATGGCCGGAGAAGTGATGCACGCCCAGGATCCGAACCCCGGGCCGCCAGCAGCGGAGCGCGCGCACTTACCCGCTAAGCCACGGGGCCGGCCCCACAAATTTGTTTTAAAACAATAGCATCAACACATGCTTTTACAGACATACATGTTAAGATATACCTATCCGCAAATGGGTTAGTTTCTGTATACGTCATAACAATAAACCTTTCTGCAATCCAATTCCACGGCTGGAGGGTACAAATTGAGAAATGAAATTCTGGAGACAGTAATCATTCTCAGTAACAGTTCTCAATGAAGAGCACTCTGAACTTCTTAGGAAAGGTAGTTATATCCAAGACTCATTTCCTTTAACATTCTTCTTTTTTTAAAACGTGGGCCCATAAAGGCTTCATTTCCAGAATAAAATATTTCAATTGATAATATGTAACTGGTACTTAAAGAAAATCTACATAATTCTAAATATACTAGTGTGGCATTCATGAGAAGGAAATATTTTTGAATTTACAATAGGTTATCAGTTTATTTCTAAATATGGAAAACAAAAATAATGACAATTTTCTCAAGAATAAATATTATAATTACAGCATAAACTAACAATTTCACAAGCACAGTTCTAAGGTCTCTGTATGTATTTGCTCCATCCTCACAACAACCCTATGAGGTAGGGTCCACTATAATATCTATTTACAATGGGAAGACTAAGGCATATAGAGGTAAGTACCAGGTTCCAGTTCACCCAGCTAATAAACATTAGAGCCAGAGTTGAACCCAGACAGCTGTAACCACTATGCTACAGGAGATAACAAAGCCATAAAGAAAAATGATTGGTTAATGGCAGCAGAACTTAGAGATAGGCGAGCTTTCTGGGCATATTAACACATTACTCATCTTTTACAAGTGGTGATCTGTAATTTTACATTGTTAAAACCAAGAAATGTAAATAGGAGCTCTAAAAGTGACCAGGCATTTCCAAATGCCTTTCTAAAATACTTTCCTTTCTATGTTTATCAATGAATTTGTTTTACCTCTTCTCACAAGAAGAAATGAACACCTCTGCTTTCTTCTGGTGCTCTTTCCTCTTTCTCCATCGAATCCCTGACTGATGCAGAACATTTCCCACTAATGATCTCATGCATAGGTGTTAAAAATAGAATCTAGATATACCACTTTCAGAGTAGCTCAGAAATTACTCTTGATGAGCATATGGGAGCAAGCTGGGCAGGAGGCAGAGCAACCAGAGACTGAGCCAATGCCGGAGCAGGCACAAGTTTAGGATAATCACCACTAACCAGAGGCCGACAGCCTTCCCTTACTGTAGGAATTCACATTGAGGATGGTAGTCTGATTTAGACTCACTCTCTTTTTTAAGGTAAAATATAAACTGCTTAATACAAATTACAAAAATTGAAAAAACTGACAGGATAAGGGTTTAATTTAATCGGCTGTGTCAGATGCTTAAAATTTCAGACTAGAATCATAGTTTCATTTTTTGCACTTATCCAGCCATCATTCATGCATATGAGTTGAAATCACAATAGACTTTCAAGGATCATCTACAAGAAAAGAATTAGTATATTTGGAAAACGACATTATTTTCAGTTTTATAATCTATACATTCTATAAACTATGTTCATAGATTCAAAATTATTTTTGAGTCAAATACATAAAATCAGATTGTAGGCAATAAAAATGAATATCTGGAGGCAGATGGTCTGCTACCTCTGTTATGAATGTAGATGATAGACAGCAAAAGGATCAGTGCCCTTCCAAAGGCAACGGAGGTTCTCATTCCTTACCAGGAACTATTTAAAATGTTAACTATGAAATGCAGAATCAATATTCAAAAAGAACTGTATATTACATACAAATGATTTTAGTGACGTAGTATAAACATTATCATATAAATATAAACTTTACCTCATTTGTCTTTCATAAGGCTTAATGAATGGAGATCCTCGCATAGTTTGTGTCTTAATAATGTGGTCATCCAATAACATCTGAATTTCATCAACTGATGACAAAATAAATGTCCCAGTTTCTCTATAAGGAAGAATGACAAATTCCATTGCATCCCACTCATTAATCATCTTCTCCATGGCCTTTTCAAGAGAATATTCTTTGCTAGCTGCTTCACTAATACCTTCAAACCTATCTAAATATGGTTCCAGATCCATGTCTAAAAAGGAGAAGATAGTGGAATCATCTGCTGGCTGCAGAGGGTAACCAACAATGCTGGACATGGCCTCCCAGTGCCTGGGGCGCAAACCAGGGTTACAGATCACTTGAATGAGAGGAATGTGCTGCTTGAAATCTTCCACCTTTGCTCTGACTTTTTTTGTCATTGCCAGTGCATTCGGAGAATCATGGAAGATTTTCTCCAGCTTATATAGTCCTCTCCAGTAATTTCCAACATCTGTTTCTACTTGATCTGGATTCACCTTGTGATACGGTCCTTCCGTCCATCCTCTATATTTGTTGCTAAATTCAACAGCAGTTTCATAGAGACGAAGATAAGGGTTCAAGCCATCTTGGATTTTTTTCCGTTGAGGATATACTGATGGTAGCCAACCAAATGCCTCCTCTTCAGCATTAAACTGCTCAATCTGGAAGGACAGGTACTAAGTATATCATTCTGAAAGTGAATGATACTCAAAATTAAGTTTTTAAAAAAATATTTATATCAAATGTGACCAAAAAAAACCCTCATTGAGCCCTAAAGTTAAACTTAAATTAAGTCATACTCTAGAAAAACTGAGCAGTAATCTCTTTCTCCTGTTTCTTTTTGATTACAGTTTCCAGAAAACAATGACTAAGTTAGTTAATATAGTAAAACAAATTTATATATAAAGAAGTCTTTGCCCATCCAGATATACTGGGGATTTAGCTTCTTTCATTAATTAACAAGAATTTAAACACTTTTAATACACACAGTATTGTGTTAGGTACTGTGGAAAACAGAAAAAAGTATTATATTGAAAAGTACCAACTCCAAGGAGTCAGTAATCCAGCTGAGGAGAAAAGACATATGTATGTAGAAAGTTAAATAGCAATTGTTCAATAATAGAAAGCAACAGAAGAGGTGTCTTAGAGCAGTAGCTGTTTAATATAAAATGAATAGTATATACTAAAAATGCTATCACTCAGAAACAAGAGATCATGCTAAAATACCGCAGCCACCGATACTTCTGTAGAGCAGATGCAACAAGAAATGGTCTTGAAGATATGTAGGATAAGAAGAGGGAAAGAAAGTATTAATTTCTTCTTAGTTTTGTAGCGAAATACACGAGGATGTGGGTGGTTTAGAGGAGAAATCTATAGAATTGAAAAGTGTGAGCTAGATATATACATTAGGCAGGTTACCTAAAATTTCAGTGGCCTCAGTCTAAAAACATCTAGGGTTTATTTGTGACTATTATAAACTATTTGATTACCCAAACTGATAAGATGTTAAAATCTTTCAATGTAAGAAAAATGGCAGAGCATCATAATATGGTCTGTTTTTTTATTTCCCCTTTTTATAAAAAAACACAACTGAAAATTTTAAACATCTTATATGGCAAAGGGTATGGCTTTTCCCCTTCCAGCTTCTTCTAGTGAGAAAGTTGACTTCTAAAATAGCAATATTGTGAGCAAAGTGGCTTGACAGGAGAAGATAACGGGCCTACTTGAAAACACAGCCACCAGATCTAAGCTGGCTTCTATCAAGATTTCAGAAAACTAAAGAGTAACCATGTGTATCACGTGATGCAAATGATTAAATGACACAAAATTAAATTAAGAAGCAGTTGGAGGCGTAGCTCTATCTTTCAAATAAAAGATGAAGCCTCTGAAATGCTATCACTACCAACAGAAAACAGCGATGCTGCTCCCCCCCGAAGCCTGTCTGTGAAATCCATCTGTGCCATTTATATTATTCCCCAACTATATGTAGTTAAACTATTATATTTGAATCTATTTCTTAAAGGTGAATACACGATACAAATTCAATGCTCTTTCTTTTGAACTAATTCATCCTCTTAAGAATTTTTTAATTATACCTTGTCTGCTGCTAAATCCAACTTCGCATTCAGTGTTTGAGCCTTTTTCAGGTATCGCTGTACATCCTGAAGATCCCCAAACGAGTAAAATTCTTCCGACTGTTTAGCATAACTCTCCAATTCCTCCACAAACCGTTCACACCGTAACTAATAAAAACAACATTCGCTGTTACTATTTAAATGTTAAAACCCCTAAGCACCAAGAGAAAATTTAAATATTTGTGAGGATTATCAGAATGATTATTGCCAGTGGCAAAATATAAACAGAGGGATGATCTGGAAGATGACTGGATCTAAAATACACAGAATTTTTAAGAGTTGGGATTTAAAATTAATGGATTAAGATTCTAGGGGCTGCCCCAGTGGCATGGTGGTTAAGTTCACGTGCTCCAACTCGGCAGCCCGGGGTTCACAGGTTCAGATCCCAGGCGCAGACCTACACACTGCTCATCAAGCCATGCTGTGGCAGCCTCCCACATACAAAATAAAGGAAGACTGGCAAAGATGTTAGCTCAGGGACAATCTTCCTCAAAAAAAAAAAAAAAAGATTCTTATAATTCACAAATTAGAGAAAGTTTACCCTTGTACTATTAATGTAAGATGTTCTAATAAAATGAATAAGAATATGTTAAACAATTATATTCATTAGTACGTTAAAGAATTTATGCTAACAAATGATTTATAAGCTTTTGAAAGATCTCATAATAATCAAGTGTGGGGCTAAAAGAAAACTCCAATTTTTAAGGGCTTGTAAAGACATTTGTGGCATTTTTACAAACATCTGGCTAAAAACAAATTTCTTTCACTGTGTTCTCATGTTCAGATATCTCTTCAATTAGCAAAGATAAAACAAAGTTTTCCAAGGTTATTTTTCTCATTCCATGGGCTCTCTTCACAAAAAATGTGTAAGGTAAATAAATCTAGATTGAAAATCCAGCCTAAAAACTATAGCCTTCCAATGTAAAACAGGTGTATATTTTTTTAATGAGAAAGGTGTATTATAAAATTGTCATTGATAAGGCATTCCAAATTAAATGGTTCTAAAGAAATAGCTCTTAATAAAATATTCAAAAGTCAAATCTAGGTTATTAAAAAATAGATTTTATAGATTATCTAGGTTGATTTCTGTCCTCTTTCTGTTAGTTTCCTGGCAAATTGATTGCTCTGGCCCAGTGGGGGAAGGAAAATGAGAGGAAAAATTCATCAACATTATATGTAGTTTGTAGAATGGTATACTTTACAATAAAGTATAGATAATTCTGGGCCACCTAGCAATTTTCTAAGAGTCTATTATATTGTAACTTAAGCATCTAATGTTTCCTATTCATGACGTTTTCTAAAGGTTTTTAAAAATTCTGAAATGGCCTCAATGTAAAACAGAAATATAGGCTACAGTTTAAGATGAAAGATTTTTTAAGTCTGTGAATTATTCTCCAACAACATATTCTGCCAATTGTATTTGTATTAATTGTATTTGCTGTAGTGTGGTAGAAAGAGGCTAGGCTTGCTATCTCTACTGGCTGACCTGGAACAAGTCTCATCACCTTTGGGGACCTTAGTTTCTTCACCTGTAAAATGAGACTGAAAATCCCAAGTCATTTATTCGGACAATAGCTGTGGCGTGCTCACAGCATTCTTGTGTTTCAGGCACTGTGCTGGCCAGGGGGATAGAAATGGAGAAAAGGTCAAAATGATCCAGCCCTGCTATCCAGGAGCTGACCTAATGGGGAGCTAGACCTGAAAATAATAACACAATGATGAGATAATTAGTCCAGTGGAGATGTGTTAAAAGTGCAATGGGAGCAGAGGAGAAGCAGCCTTGAGGTCTGACTGAGGGGGCTTCTCAGAAAGTCAATTGAGTGTGCTGGATAGACAAGCATGTGTGCGGGGCTAGGGTGCACTCCAGAGCAAATGGAGAAAATGTGCAAGAATGAGAGGTGCAGGGCAGCAGGGACCTAGAAACTGCTCAGGGTTACTGAGAAATTAAGAACAAAGAGTGGGGCATTAGGAAACGATGCTGGACAGGTAAACAGGGGAAAATCACAAACCATCTTCTATGCAGAACAAAAGAAAAAAGGTTAGAGCTATTAAAATTAGAGTGATGATTCTGGGCACAGAACTTAGGTGAGTTTCAGCAATTATGAGGTGTGAAGGCACTCTACACCAAGCTTTGATGTTAAATGATAAAAATAAAATAAAAGAGTACTATAAAGTGTATAAGATAAATACTATTTTTATTAATGGTCATTTGTGGGCAATATATTCAAATGTTTTCTCCTTTCAAAAATCAAGAAATGATGTCACATGGATCCAATATGTGTACTATCTTCTACTAAGATTTACAGTATGAGAAATATGAGTACTAATTTCTGCCAAGATTGTTGAGAAAGCTGCAATATATGACCTGTGAAATAGAGGAGTTGCCAATGCTATGTAAGAAGTTAAAACTTCAACATTTCCAGAAAAGGAAAATAACTTAAAATATCTATGATACCAACCTTAAGACCTTCTTGATATTGTTCTGTTTTCTCTCTAATGATTTTCCTGTGTTCATCAAAAATTTCTTCCATTCTTCCATACCACTGGAAAACATTATTATTTAGCCTAATGTCTGCTGGGGAAAAGTTGATGCACTCAATGAGGAAGGCGAGGCAGTTTTTGGAATCCACCAATCTCTGTCCCAGTTCAATCATATCAGTTGTCTCTACTTTCTGAATATAAGCCTGAGGGTAAACAAAAATTACAGATGGCATTTTAATGAACAGCTCATGTCAAAAAATAGCCTGTGGAAATACAATGCATAAATATGTACAGACTTGTTACAAGTACAGACTTGGGGTTCCAGATAGCGAACTGCAGCACGATTTATTTCTCATCCATCCCAAACACTTTTACTAAAATAGCAGGGGGAAAAAAAAAGAAAATACTAAACAACACATAAAGAAACCAGAGAAGAATGCTGTGGGTTTCTGGAAGATACGAAGCAGGTGCTATCTGAGTGGTACCGTTTATTCCTTCAGAATAGCATTTTTGGGCACCTCTATGTGCCTGACCCTGTGCTGGGTGCTAGCAATTCAGCGTGACAACAACCAGACCTGGGCTTTGCCCTCAGAGAGTTTATACATAGCCTAGTTGCGGGAGACAATTATTAGTCAACTCACCACCACAACAAATGTAAAGTTGCAAACTTGCAACAGACACCAGTGGGGCACTTTCCTTAGTTATAAAAGCTAAAAAATAACGGTATGCAAATTTAACAAGATGTGCTAAATCTACATGAGGAAAACTATAATACTTTATTGAATGACATTTTGAAAGTTCTGAATAAATATAGAAATATATTAAGACATAACATTGTAAAGATGTAAATTCTCCTCCAATCAGTCTATAAAATCAACGCAATTTCAATCAAATTGCAAAGGCATTTCCAAAAATTCTAATACAAAAGATTCTAAAAATTCTGGTATAACTCTAAAAGTCTCTGAAATAGTAAATACTCAAAAGTAGCAAAGATAATCATGAAAAAGAAAAGTGATAGGGACTATCCCTGCCAAATATCAAAACATACTATACAGCAGCAGTCATTTAAACAGTTCTTCTTCTGGCCCAGGAATAGACCACAGAGCAGCATAGATGGAGTTCAGAAATGGATCCAAGTATGTATGGAAATTCAGTTTTGAAAAGATGCATTTCAAATTAGGAGTGAACCGACAGATCATTTAATAAATCGTATTGGGATAATTGGCTATTGATTTGGGGGAAAAGTAAGAGCCCTAGTTATCTAGTAGGAGTAATACAGAGAAGGCATATTGTTAAGTGAACAAAGTAACTTGCAGCAGACCAGTGATTCTGTTTTTGCAAAAACAAATCTCTCTACGTTTGTGCATGTGAGCGGGTGAACGTACAGGTGTGTGTGTGTGTGTGTGTGTGTGCGCGCGCACCTATACACGTGCCCATGGGCATGTACATATATACATATAGCTCTCTCAAAGCCCTTTTGATACATCTTAATTTATTTATATATCTTAATAATACAAACACCAAAGGAAACTTGCTACCCCACTGAAAAATGAGAAAACTTGTCATGACTTGTAACTACTATGGTCACCTTCCCTATCTTATACCCCACCTCCCTGTCTAGGAAGTAAATGCCTCTTTTTAAAAAAATGTTTTTAAAGCTCTTTTAAATCTCCAATCTCCATCTCTCTGGCTCTCTCTCTTCATCTCTCTCTCTCTAGTGATATATATATATAAAATATATCATATATATCACTATATATGTGTTTGGAAAGAGCACAATTCACACTAAAGTATAGAGAATCATTACCCTAAAGAAGGAAATTATGGAAAAAGAGAAACTTTTATTTTTACTTTGTACAATCCATATTGTTTAAATTTTTACTTTTGCAATTAAAAAGAAATAACAAGCAACATTGCCTAGAAATCTTTCATTGATATATCATTCTAATTAGACCAAATGTTTTTATGTTGCAAATTCAAACAAATAAGAGGCAAACCATGGTGGTTTCCACAGGTAACAAAATGCCTAACTGAAAATATATCTTTGTAACATGGTTAATCAGCTTTCTATGTAGTCAAACAACTGGATTTTTATTTCCCCTTACTGATGTAAACGACTGATTTCTGTATTTAATAAACTGAGAAGCTATTTTGCCCTTGCAGGAATAAATGTTTTTAAGCTACAGAAATACTTTAAATACCAGTTAATGAATCCTATTTGCTAATTCTCTTAAAGGTTGCTACAAACAATAGAAATTCACACTAAATAACCCCAAATTCCTAAATATTTCCAGTGACGGCTTGGAGGGTAAATAAATGACACTCTTCATTCTCAACATTCATCTTTCCAAAGGAAGCTACAGTTATGGAACCTTCCAGCTGTCTTTAGAATCATCCATAATCAAAGTGTCACTTAATATCCCACAACAACGAATATATAATATACAAATATCCTAAAAGAGAATATATCTAGGCATGCGTGTGTATTTGACACACACATATAAATTCACATACTAAGAATCCCAATCCAAGTACAAATATTTTAAAGAAAATAGAACACTTTTAGTTAGAGGCTGATACGTAAAAGTTGGTTCTAATGGTTGTGACAAACTTTTAAGCGAATAATTTAAAGAATGTACAAAAATCATTTGAAGTCCTTTTGCAATTTCCTGCCTATATAAAGTTTCCAAAGCAAAAATATTTGCTTAAATATTTTAAAATCTAAAAATAAAAGGGTTCTATTTTGGATATTGGGAATGCTAGAAAAGGAAAAAAAAAAGATCTTGTAAAAGCTTAATATTATAAGAATGAAAAAAGAATAAAATAAAATGGTGACTAACTAGTTGTTTTACATTATTTTATTCACCATTAGGTAGACTTCAAGCACAGAAGTAACATGAAAAATGATGAAAGTGAGACTTATCTAATATTTTCAGTACCATAAAACCTATGCTCAAGGATAAAATATTTCAGCAAACTACAGCAGAAAATTTTAATATATAACACAAGACAGCCTGTAGAAAACAAAATAAAATGTTACTTAAGAATTAAATATTTGTTGATAAAAAAAAGTGAAGGGTGACCACATATCTCAGGTTGCCCAAGACAGTCCTGGTTTATGCCTTTAGCAGGGCAACAATTACTAACAGTGCTTTCAAAAGTATCCTGGCAGATGACTGCATTCATGGCTCTAGTACTTCCCCTCTTCCGGCATCCACACCCTACCGTGTCCTCTCACTCTGACCCTGTGGCCACATGACTTGCTTTGATCAATGGGACGTTAGCTATGTGACACAAGGAGAAACTTGAAAAGCACTGGTACAACTGGGCTTGGTTTTGCGCCTCCACCATGACAGGTGGACATTCCCAGGGGAGCCTGTTGGAGTGTGAGAGACAAGTGGAGCAGAACCAAATTGCTGAAGATAGTTTCACCAGTCAACCCGAATGAGAACTAGCTGACCCAACTGCGTGAGTAACCCAACTGAGACCAGAAGACCTGTACAGGAGTGCCAGCCTAAACCACGAGAACACAGACTCAGGATTTAAGTATATATTTAAAAAAGTGATTATTTTAAGCCTCTGTCTTAACTTTTGGAGTGATTTGTTGTTGTATTATTGCGCCAATAATTAACTTATAAAAGCTGGGGTAAAAAGAAAACGATTAACTTTTGCACACAGAACTATAAAGAATCTAGAAGCAATACCTTCATTTCCATCAGCTCTGCTGTATTTGGAGGAGTACTGAGAGCTTTTTCAGCTATCTTCTCAAATTCATCACATAATCTGAAATACCAGACAACATCAATCTCATATATTTAAATTTCACTCCTAAATATGCTTCTATACACTATTTATATGTTCCATTACGTGAAAAATAAAGTAAGATTATCTTACCTATATGACACCTAACGAATTAAAAGCAAATTTGTGTTCACTTACTTATTCACTCAATACACATTTAATGATCATCTATTACATTCCTAACTACAACATTAAATGACAGAGACATAGAAGTGGATAAAATGTAATAATGGTTCTCCAGCAGTTCACAATCTAGTATGGAAGACAGGACCATAAACAATCACTTCCAGCCTAGAGTTTTAAGGGCTCTACCAGAGATTTTTTGAGATGGCATCAGAAAAGTGGTACAAAGGAAGGGAGTGATTAACCCTACTTGGAGGGAATGATTAAAACAGACTTGTATGCTCAGAAACTTCTGGTAATATGCAAATATTTCCTACTGATTTGGGTTGGGGCCAATATAAACAATGAACTTACTGTGAGGTTTAAAAAAAAAAAAAAAAAGAGTAGTGGGTTCTAAGGAAGTCCCAAGACATGTAGAAATTTCTTCAAGAAAATTGGCTGTGAGGTGAAGGAGAGAGAAATAGCATGGTGATGATTTTGGGTTGAAGTGGGGGGTTGGAAGATGGAGAGGGTTTTGACCATGTTTGTAAATTTCAGAGGCAGAATCAATAGCAAAGGAGAAATTTAAAATGCGATACAGAGGGGGTGGCTGGTGGAGCCAGCTCCAGAGAGATGGGATATAATGGGGTTGAGCTCACAGGAACTTTGAATAGTGTGACAGGCTCTTGCCATCTGAGAAGGTGGGGAAACAGGTATGAAGGGGTTCATGGAGGTGAGTTGAGACATGGAATGGCGAGAAGGTGAGGGCGTTCACATGCAGTGGTTCCTAGAATAGTCCATCCAGTGAGTCTAGTGGGGGCATAATTAGGAGAAAAGGAGAAAAAGTAGAACTGGCATCAGCTCAGAGGGCAGTTAAGAGGCAGGGAAAATAGCTATGAAATTAAAACAAATATTTCACACAGCATGAAAAGCTACAAGTAAAAGACATTCTCACTATTCTTCCAGTACTTTTAGAGGAAGAGGTGCTGTAAGGTGAATATACGATTCTGGTTCCTAGCCAAGCTACCCAAGTCCTAGTCCTCTCTCACGTGGCGCCTCTCTCTTCAGCCTCCCTCCTCACCTCTCTTCCCTCACAGTGTCTGTGAAAGCAATACCAACCACTGCTAGTCCTTGGGAAACACCAGGCCATTTTCATACCTCACTCCCTTCTACATAGTATTTTCTCTACATGGAATTCTTTCACCCACATTTTTCACCTGGCAGACTCCTACTCATCCTTCAAAATGAATTCACACACCACTTCCCCTTTGCACCCTTCCCTGATTTTCCCCTGTCCCCCAACCTCCACCCTGAAAGAAAATTAATCATTTCCTTTTCTGTTCTACCTCTGTGGCTCAGTACAGTACTCAATGGGCCCTGTTGTAATGTGCTGGTTTGTGTGTCTATTTCCCCTTCAACACTGTAACTTCCTCCCACAGTTTTATTCATAGTTAGAGTCCAGGTACCTAGTGCTGCACCTAACACATGGTAGGTAAATAAAGCTTCCTTCAGGCTTCTATACAGCCTGAAAGAAATATTTCATTTTTTCTCTAATACCATAACTATAAAAAATTTTTTGATTATTTGGGGGTTTTTTCCATGTAACTGATACCGGAAAAGAGGTTTCTAGAGCAACACTAACACCAGTTGTCAGAAGACTGATTACACTTCTTGTCTTAAAAAACAGGAATTCTGCTTTACACATTGCCATTCTGTGAGTTTACTTAACATGAGTCAGTTTTCCTTAAAATCTCCAGGTTAGTCAACAAATGAGTTTTTAGTTAAGGCAACAAGTTACCATGGCCTTGAAGAGTAATTACGGTAAGATGAAGTTCCAAATTTGAGGGTCCCCTGGGATCCATGACAACTAAAACTACTTTGAAAACCCACTTTTGTGTATTGATTATACAAATTTAAAAATCTGAAGTTAGAAAATGTCCATCTGACTTGTGCAAATGAAATACATACACATTTTAATAGCACTTTAATTCAGACCATTGGGATGGCATATTTATGATGAAAAAAATAATTCTAATAATCACAAAATAACACATAAAGCCAAGTAGAAATAAGTTTGGCATTATCTTTCTTTTGGGTCATTTACGACATTGCTCTAATCCATTACTTGAGTTGAATGACAGTTGATTCTATTTAACGTCCTCCCCCCAAAAATAAAAATATAATAATATCACGTAAATACCTTGTATTTACTTCCTGATGATCTCTGAACATTTTAGTGATAAGTTTTCCACAAATAATCTCAGCTCGCTTCACCAAAGCTCTGATTAATTCCTCACAGCGCATTTCAAACATTCCTAAACGAATAGTCTGCAACGTTAAGTATTAAAAGTCTAATAAACTTAAAAAGAAATAAAAGATTCCTACAGTTTTGCCTTTCTCATAATATTGATTTTCTGTGTGTGTGAACTAACAAGATTGAGAGGTTTTTTTTAACATGATGCAGGCAGGGATTTTTACAACCATCTTCTGGATAAATCTCTTTGAAGAGTTTGTTATCTTGGGAGCCAATTCTATTTCAGGACAATAATGGATACAAAACTTTGGAGAGGGCCGGCCCCATGGCTTAGCGGTTAAGTGCGCCCGCTCCGCTACCGGTAGCCCGCGTTCGCATCCCGGGCGCGCACCGACGCACCGCTTCTCCGGCCATGCTGAGGCCACGTCCCACAGACAGCAACTAGAAGGATGTGCAACTATGACATACAACTGTCTGCTGGGGCTTTGGGGAAAAAAAGGAGGAGGACTGGCAGTAGATGTTAGCTCAGAGCCGGTCTTCCTCAGCAAAAAGAGGAGGATTAGCCTGGATGTTAGCTCAGGGCTGATCTCCCTCACCAAAAAAAAAAAAAAACTTTTTTTTTTTTAATTGAATTGAGTTATTGCTAAATAGATAGTGTGGGATTTAAATGTTATATTTTCTCTGTACAAAAAAGTAATATATGTTCATGGTAGAAATTTTGGAAAATACAAAAAAGAACAAAAGAAGAAAATTTTAAATTACCGGTCTCCTACTAAATAGAAGTAAACACATTTTGGTGTAATTACCATATTTTCCAAAGGATTTATAAACACTACAGCAAAAAAAAATTAAGTTCTTGGAACTTTTGAGGGGTCAAAATAAATACAGTCCTTAGAAATCCGAGTTGTAATAGACTTTCAGCTCTACGAGCACAAGAATCGTGTCTATTTGTCTACCTCCACATACCCAGGACTTACCACAATGCTTGGCACACGGAACGGCTCAACAAATATTTTTCCTGTTGATAGTAATGGTCTAATTCTTCACTGTATGGTCTAAAAACACATCCTAATAAAACTGAGAAAAGATCACTAGGTACAGCAAACAGTTGTACAAAACAGGTCAATTACCTTTCTAGATGTGTACTGTATTTCCTCTTTTAGTTTTTGGTATTTGCGAATTTCTTGTATTATTTTCTCGTAACTATGATTTTCTGCGAGGAAAGCATCAACGTCCTGCTCAGCCTTTTTGGTAATCAGAAAGTCATACTTGTCATAGAGCCTGAGGTGCTCGGTGGGTGCCACACTTTCTCTCATCGTCACTTCCCTCACCTTTTCTTTGTGAGCATCAACAATTTCCTTCAGAATTACTGGCTTCAAGGTTGTTGGTTTAGACATACTTTCCTAAACAACGGGAAAAAAATGGTATTAGTTATTTAAAATGCCTGAGATTAAGGTAACTGTATCATTTATCTCCGTAAAAATGCCAATCTGACCATATTGTCTTTTTTTTCATTCACAAGATCTTTATGTTTTCTGATCTCTATAGAAAGATATTCAGTCTAATCACAGCAGTACTTTAAATATTTAGGTTTCATATAATTTTTTTGTTTTCCCTTAAGGCCACCTGGTTGTGTTTCATTTTTCTGTAAGGATGAAAGAACAGTCACTTGAAAATATACACAAAATTAAAGTTAGAATATAAAAATAGCAAAATCCACAGTTTGTGCAATTGTATATGCTAGCTTTATAAGGTAGCACTTACATTGTACATTATTTTTAAAAAATAAGCCAGCTCAATGTCATATCATCATACTCTCTGATCACAGCACTTTTTCACCCTAGGAGTAATCTATCTAGAACAAAGAAAAATTGTTTCCTCGTTCATTGACCTTTGATCTTGGATTCTGTGACTAGCAAGTAGAGCAGAGTAAAATCCCTAGTTGCACAATCCGCATTCTGCTATCACCATTAGAATAACAGTGGGCAAGAACGGATCAGACAACAATTTTAAGTAAGCAAAGAAATCTCAACAGCTTGTCTCCTCTTTTCAAATAAGAAGACAACTAAATGTGCCTACATGGTTTATTATCTTGAACCAAGTTACACTTAAAAATACATATGCTCTATCTGTCATCCAGAAGAAGGGATTTTTGACCATAACAAACAAATATTATTGTCTGTAGTGGATATTCCACAGCATTCAAACTGATATCAAAGGATTCTTGGAGAACTGGGGAATTTGTTCAGGTATCCAGGGTGCATTTGCCCGCTCTGTCCCCTAGTGGGCATTTTAGGAATATATATTGCTTAGAACTAGATGCTCTCTGAGAGCATTAGTGAATCCCACCACCACCACCTCACACCTGGGCTCAGTAGATGCTTGGTGTCATCTTTTCTGAAAAAGAACTTTAGGATAAAGCAATCTATTTTATGTACTGTATGCAATGTGACATTATTGGATCTAATGTGAAGCTCATTAATATTCAGCATGGAATACTTCTTGAATTTATTAACACCTGCCTAATTTCTAAAGCCTATAGATATATCTTTCTAAACAGAACTGAATACCAGGACTTCAAAACTATATTAGAAAGTATCCTTTTGATATGAATGCTAATCAGCTCCTATCACGAGTTAAGAGAAATGATCTACCGTGTGAGACAGCTCAAGTGTTTGATAGCATGTCAGATTAGCTAGCCAGCACAGTGATGTGCTGGGACTCACAGCACCTCAGCCCCGCGCAGGTTTGCCTTCCACGGGAAGAAAGTGTATTTTAATTTTTTAATAGAAATTTTCAGTTTCTATCAAAGATTGTGATAAGAAACAGCGATATGAATTCTACTTCTGCAATTGCTGTCAAAGATCACTGAAAGCACATTCAATTATTTCATTCAAAGTAACTTCTATATCACTTGTATCCAAACTTGACTGATTGCCAGAATCATCTAGGGATATCTTACCAGTACCTATTTCTGAGTACCGACCGGCATTGTGAATCCACATCTCCAGGGCCAAAGGGCACTGGCGGTGGGGATCCCTGGATTTGTATTTTTACGATGTCACCAGGTGAGACTGACGCATGGGGTTTCAGAACCATTGCCCCACGTATAACGCCCCACAGAAGACCTATCTCTCAAAATCTGATAGCAGAAAAAATACTCAAATAGTCTAAATTAAATGTTTAATCCTAGTTAAAACTTGTCATATTTTCCTCTTCACTTTAGAAACCTAGAAGCTCAGAGCCATATTTTATAACCATAAGATCATATCAGCTCTACGCATTTGGATGATTATAACACTTTTCTCCACTTCGAGCTTTGTCTAGTAACTCTTATTTATTTGTTACATTTGTCTGTTTCATAAGCCACTTCAAATCGTTCTTGAAAAAAGGCAGGGTATGAATAGAACAGAAAAGGATGTAATAGATGAACTGGAATTAAACAAAGGGCAAAGTAAACAATAAGCGAGAGTCTTCTACTTATGGCAATATGAGGAACAGATATCCTGAAAACAACTACCTAGTTCAAAACACATAAATATGCTATAAGAAATGCTAAATATAATTTTTATAATGCATAGCTAAGGAACGAAAATAATAAGGAAAGTCTAAGGGGCCAAACATGAAAGGATGTATGAATTGAGAGGTAACTGAGTGCAGGCATGAGCAGGGGGCCCGGAGACTCTGCTGACCCCTGCTGGTCTAAGCTTTGCTTTAGTGAATCTCCAGAAAGGTAGAGTATGTGTGGGGGCGGGGGGGCGGGGGTGGGAGAATGGCTGTCAGGGAACAAAGCCCCAGGCCTGAGCACGGTGGGAAGTCATAATTGATACCCCCACAGAAGGCCAAGAACACTGAAAGGTGACCGACACAACCTCAAAATGAGAGTTCTGGGGACACAAAATTGAAGGATGCTGAAAGGTGACAGAACCTCTGAATGAGGGGGCAAAAATTAGAAAAATGTCCTGTTTTGGCCTTGTTTCTCAGTGGAAAAGAAAAAAGATGGTCGCTTAACGAATTTGTAACCACAAGCCTGTTCTCATACAGATATGGGTAAGCATTCACACAGCCAGTATTGTCCACAAAAGCTTCAGGCAAGAATTTTGCTCAAGATGGTCCTTGGTCTGCAGGGGCCTCCAGAGCACCTGTCAAGAGAATGTGCAAATTCCAAAGGGACCACCTGAAACCAAGGCCTCAAAGACTTCCCTGCATAAAGTTCTTAAATGTATAAGCCCATAATAATAAAGGGGAAAACAGCCACAGAAATACACCACCAGGACCAGGAGTCAGATCAGTAAACACAGAAGTAAAAGAGCAGTGAATACATGACTATGTACAAGAGACTATCAAAAACGCCCAGGCCTATCTGAATAAGAACTCAATGGAACTCCTATAGAATAATAAAAAAAATTAGAAGCTCTATGAAGAGGATAATATCCTCAAAATGGAATATTTCACAATCATAATGTCAAGTAAAATAGAACAAGACATTGATGATTTATAAGCTGACTCCATCTATACAAAGACATGGAAAAACTAAACAGAAACCGTTTAGGGATATTCAGACAGGGAGCAAGTTTATCTTTAAAAATCAGAATAATAACTACAAAATTCAAGATAGTGATTCTGTTGCTAGAAGGTAGAAGCATAAGGATGAGAACAGGGAAGGGCAATGGGGGATGGGGAGAGCTTAAAGGTATCAGTAATATTCTATTGCTTAAGTTAGAGTGTAGGTACATAGATGTTAATTTTATTGCTACTTAAAACTTCAAACACAAGTCTCCTGTACTCTTTTGTATGTATGAAATATTCATAAACTATTTTAAAAATAAAAAAAGAAAGCTACTGGTTGGATTTACAAAACTTGAAAATCTTATAAGTTAAAGAATTTTCAGACATGCTTATCTATATACTATGTAGATATACTATACTGAAATAACTACTGTTGAAATGTCATAGTTGGCATAGTTTTGCTAAATATTTAGCCAAAGAGAGAAGGGAAGTAGGATCTGTGATGTGAAAGTACAGAGACACTTGTATTTATGGAAAAAGGTGAATAAGGAGGGTAATCAATTGGAGGACAGTCTCACAGAGCTGGAAGAGTATAATGGGGTCTACAGCATGGTATGAGTGCTACAGCAACGCTCCGTGACAGCTTCAAACCTGATCACAACTGCAACTACTTTCCCTCAGAAAGTTTTCAGCTGAGTCCAGTGGAAGACTGGACTAGGAAAGTAGGTGTGTTGTAAGAGAAGCTAATGGAGAAAACAGAATTTTTTTGAAGCAAAACTTTCTTGTAAGCCAATGTTACTAGGCCATTTACATTCTGCAAAGCAGAGGATACATATCTACACCTTTTAGAAGTTATTTGAAGTGAATATCATCATGCAAATTCAAGCAATCAGAATATCCTTGTTACTTACCCACTTGGAATACAATTTCGTCTCAACTCTTGGCACAAAACTGACAGCCTTAATCATGACATCATAAACATTTAGAAGGATGTCTATATAGTCACTGAACTCAGGTTCAAACTTAATGGTGTCATTATCAAGAACCAGCCTCACGATGAAACCTGGATGTTCAAAAGCTCTAACAGAATCCTAAAAAAAAAAATATATATACATATATACAAATATACATATGAATTGTGATAGACTAAGGAGTGTACTGGTTCCAGTTAGAATACATAGGAACTCACCCTTCCTCTCAAGCCCTAGTCAGTTAAGCCAATAAATGACAAAGTAAACAGTAAGTTTTACAAAGAGGAGCTTTACTAAAAAGAGCAAGAGCGATTCCCAGCTAGACTTGTTGGTATCTAGTTGTATCCATTGGGCCTACAGATCAATGATAGGGTCAAGGTTCCATAAAAAGAAAGATGTGCGTAGCAGGGGGGCTCTAGAATCACGCAAGAAAGGGCCCAAGAGGAGAACATTCAAATTCCCAGGCCCTGCTCACACTATGACAGGACTTTCTTCCAGAAAGAAAAGAGTTCCTTGCGGAGACTTTCCCCGGAGATCATGACCCAAATTCCCCAATTATGGGAATTTTCACTTATTTTCACTTATCCTCACCAATGTGATGCTAATCACCTATCCTAAATATGCAGGTTGACGCTAACTTTTTTTTTTTAACAGATAAGGTCTTAAGATATACTTTCTGCCCTCCCACTGGTAAAAGTATTTTATCATTTTCCTCTCCAAAAGAATTAAAAATAAATAAATTAGTAAATGAACATTGGTGTGACTGAACCGTACTTACTGCAGGTTGTGCAATTAGGTCTGTGAAATCTTGCATGGAGACCAAAGCGAGGTCCTGCAGCTGTAAAGTCATAAGTGTAGCAGCACAGTTGAAAAAAGACTCCAATTTGGCGCTGCTGTCACCACTTGGCAATTGCTTTTTTTTATTACCTTGGTAATAAATATTCTGCACTTCTGGAAACCATCTTGAAAGAAAAAAAGACTTTTAAAAGTTAATACTTTCAATAAATTACTCCTTTTACATTAAGCATTAACAGTAACTTCTGGATAACCGAAAGTCTTCATAGAGAGGTATATTGTTGTGACATCATCCACTCTCTGAAATATAAGTGCTAGCATATTTCACTTCTTCCAGGAAAAGAAACCATAGCCAATAGAAAACAACTCGATGTGATGGTGTGAAAAAAATACAAATCTAACTCCTGAAACTATGATTCTTGCACTTTTTGAATAAATATGACAACTAACTTTATTGGATATTACAAAATACTCCTCTCCAATCTCTGAAATGTTCTTCAGGGAATGGATTTGTTCGTTTAAAGCTAAAATGTGAACTGATTAAACCAAGAGAGGGCTTATTTGGTTCAACCAACTTGGTATTTTACACTATTCTATCAGTTTCACAATGACTCGAAAAACAAATGAACAAAATCAAGAATATTATTTTCTTAGTCCCCCAATGTGAAATCCTGAAAGAGTGACTGATTTAAAACAAAGTTTCCAATGTGTATGTATCCTCGTAATAAAGGATAACAGTGAAGTCCATATATAGATACATCATGATGATAACAAGTGAAGTTCTCAGTTTACAAAACTACTGTCCAACACCACAAAATCAAGGAATATTGGTACCTCTTTTGTAAGAGATAATGGGTTTTTTAAAATAGAGAGTCAATATAATCTCAGGAGTTGCCTGAATGCTTCAAGAGAGATTTAAGTTTTAAATATATGTATCCATCCCTTTAACAAATATGTGTTTAGTGTCTTCTATGTGCTAGGAACAGTGTCATGGGAGACATAAAAAGATACGACCTCGGGGCCATCCCGGTGGCACAAGCGGTTAAGTGCACGCGTTCCGCTGCAGCGGCCTGGGGTTCGCCAGTTTGGATCCCGCGCGCACCGACGCACCACTTGTCAAGCCATGCTGTGGCGGTGTCCCATATAAAGTGGAGGAAGATGGGCACGGATGTTAGCCCAGGGCCAGTCTTCCTCAGCAAAAAAAGAGGAGGATTGGCAGATGTTAGCTCAGGGGTAATCTCCTCACCAAAAAAAAAGATATGACCTCATCCCTTCTCATTCTTATAATAATGAAGGCAATGTGTCATAGCAGAAAAACAGCTTTGAAGTCACAGGATAGAGATATAATTTTCCATTTAAGTAATGGAGAAGGGTTTTACAGTGAAGATGGCAATTTCACCAAAGAACAGATAGAAATGAAATGAGGAAGACCCTAAGAAGAGGATCTGAAGTAGAAATAGGATAATAAGAAAATAGGAGGGATGGGGGGCGCTAATATATCTGATCATTTCACTGTCTTATAATCGAGATAAGAGACTAGAAATAGGAAGAAATAACCAGGGAAAAGTCTGTAAGGACTTCTGCAGAACTTGGGAGCTAAACACAAGAACTTGGGAGCGCCCTGCTCTCTAGGATGAAGCCATGGCAGATCTTCCTGCAGCGAGGCATCACCATTATAGCACCAGGTAAAGAGGACAAGCGGCAAATACTAAGCAGAGACGGGCAGTGCTAGATGAAGAAAGGGGACTGAGAAGCCTCCACTAGTTCAGAAAAAGATGAAATAAGTTTGGGGTTGTAGGACTGGAAAAAGGGCAAATAAAGAAAATAGATTTTAAAAATTATTCATTCAGTCATTGTCTCAAAAATATTTACAGGGCTTCTTATTATGCGCAAAACATTTGGGGTACAAAATATTACTCAGTTCTCAAAGTGCTTATAGACTAGTGGAGGGAAAAAAGGCATATATATATAAATACATATTATAAAAGGAAGCAGCTATAAGAGAATAAATTGTCAGAAGCATTCAGAAGGAAGAGGTTATTTTTGACGAGGTAACAGTAAAGATTTCATAAAAGAAGGATCATTTGGGCTGGGTATTGAAGGACAGAAGAGAGGCTTCTCCAGTTAACGAGCTACATCAAGTACTGTAAATAGTGTGAATCATAATATTTTGCTGATGGTATTCAAGAGGCTCTATTTTGTTTTAATCTCCTTAACCTCTGATTCAATCTGATACAATTATGTATGCAAAAATGACAATGCTAAGAGTCACAGAGTTTAAGAGGGAAGCAACTGAACAACTTTCAAATTTTCCTAGAATTCCCTTCTCACAGATGGATACAAACAAGGAGTAACTAAGTATTTTAAACATCAATAGTTGGTTAAACAGGAGAACAAAGAGCCTTTAAATTTACCCATTGGATAGATATTTAATGGTGGTAAGGTATGGTTATAGACTAGTCTTACAAGTTATGCCCTGTTTAATTTAACACAACTATTTCTACAGGCATGGCCCAAGGTGAAAGTCTTCTTAGAACTGAGAATGGAAAAGATAGGTTATGTCTAGGTTGCAGAAGACCTTAAAAGGCAGATTAAGAATTGTGGACTTTTTTGGTCAATAAAAGGGAGGCACTGAACTGGAAGTATTTTAAGATTCATCTGGCAGTGGTTTGTAGGCTATGTGGGAGGTTAAAAGGGCCTGCCAAGGGTAGCAGCGGTGGGAATTAAGGAAAGGAGTACACAGGGAAGATGATTCTGAGAGAGGATCAAAAATAATTGGTGGTCATAAAATAAGTCTCAATAAATGTAAAAGGATTGAAACCATACAAAATTAGAGATCAGTAATAGAAGGACACTCTGGAAATTCACAACTTTGTGGAAATTAAACAACACAGTCCTAACAACAAATGAATCAAAAAAGAAATCACAAGGGAAATCAGAAAATAATTTGAGATGATGAAAATGAAAATATCATATACCAAAACTCATAGGATGCAGAAAAGCAGTGATCAGAGGGAAATTTATATCTGTAAACACTTACATTAAAAAATAAAAAAGATCTTAGAAACCTAAATTTCCACTAGAAAATGGAAAAAGAAGAGCAAGCAAAACTCAAAACAATGAGACGGGAAGAAATAAAAGTTTGAGTGGAAATAAACAAAATAGATAATAGAAAAGTAACAGAGAAAAATCAACAAAACCAAAAGTTTGTTCTTTAAAAAGGTCAGCAAAATTAACAAACCTATAGCTAGACTGACCAAGAAAAAAGAGAGAAGACTCAAATTGTTAAAATTAGGAATGAAAAAGGGGATATTAATACTGACCTCACAGAAATAAAAAATGATTATAAGGGAATATAATAAATAATTGATTATAAGGGAATATAATAAATAATAACCCATGAACTGACGACTTCACTGGTGAGTTCTACCAAACTTTTAAGGAAGAATTAACACCAATCCTTCATAAACTTTTCCAAAAAAAAGAAGAGATTATTAATTCATTCTATGAGGCCAATATTATCATAATACCAAAACCAGACAAAGATACCACAAGAAAAAGAAAACTATAGACAAATATCTCTTATGAATGCAGACATAAAAATCCTCAACAAGATACTAGCAAACTGAATTAAGCAGCTTATTAAAAGGATTATGCTCCATGACCAAGTGGGATTTATCTCAGGACTGCAAGGTTAGTTCAATATATTAAAATTGATGTGATACATCATATTAATAGAATAAAGGAGAAAAACCCATTATCATCTCAATAGATCCAGAAAAAGCATTTGGCAAAATCTACACTATTTCATGATTAAAAATAATCAAGAAACTAAGAATGAAAGGGAAATTCCTCAACCAGATAAAGGGCAACAATACAGCTAACTTAATGGCAAAAGACTAAAAGCCTTTCCCTTAACATCAGGAAGAAAACAAGGATGTCCACTCTTGCTACTTCCATTCAACATTGCACTAGAGGTTAATCAGAGCAATTAGACAAGGAAAAGAAAAAAACATATGCAGATAGGAAATGAGGAAGTAGAGCTATCTCTATTTGCAAATGACATGATCTTATATAGAGAAAGCTATAAAGAATCCACACACAAAAAACTATCCAAGCTAATAAACAAGTTTAGCAAGGTTGCAGGATACAAGATCAATATACAAAAAATAGTTCAATTAGATTTCATCAGAATTAAAAATATTTGTGCTTCAAAGAACATTATCAAGAAAGTGAAAGGACAAACCACATAATGGGAGAAATATTTGCAAATCATATAATTGATGAGGGCCTAGTATCCAGAATATATAAAGAACTCTTACTACTCAACAATAAAAAGACAGATAACCCAATACAAAATGAGCAATGATTTCAATAGAGATTTATCCAAACAAGATAAATAAATAGGCAACAAACACATGAAAAGATGCCCAACCTCATTAATCATTAGGGAAATGTAAATCAAAACCACACTGAGATAGCACTTCACATTCACGAAGATGGCTATAATCAGAAAGATGGACAATAACAAGTGTTGACAAGGATGTGGAGAAATTTGGACCCACGTACATTGTTGGTAGGAGTGTAAAATCTTACAGAACCTTTAGAAAACATTGTGGTAGTTCCTCAAAAAGCTAAACATAGAGTTATCATATAACCCAGCAATTCTACTCCTAGGTATATAGCCAAGATAACTGAAAACATATGTTTATACAAAACAAATGCTCATAGCAGCATTATTGATAATAGCCAAAGTGTAGAACCAACAAACGTCCATCAACTGATGAATGGAGAAACAGAATATGGTATAACCATACAATGGAATATTATTTGCCCATGAGAAGGAATAAAATATTGATACATGCTCTAATATGGATAAACCTTGAAAACAGTATGCTTAGTGTAAGAAGCCAGACATAAATAGTTACATATTGTACCATTCCACTTAGATGAAATGTTCAGAATAGGGAAATCCATAGGGACAGAAGGTGTATTAGTGCCAGAGGCTTGTATAAGGGGGAATGGGAAATGACTGCTAACAGACACTGGGGTGATGGAATTAATGGTGATTATTACACAACCTTGTGAATATATTATAAACTACCGAATTATACACACCAAAGTGGTGAATTTTATGGTAAGTGAATTATATCTTAAAAAAAAAGAA